ATTATATTATATTATTTATAAATTCAAAGAATAAGAAAAATCAGAATTTTCTGGGCCTTATTGCCCAGCCACATAAGGCTACACCCCGTCACATCTTGACTGTAGTCTTTAATCCTTTTTCCTTGCAAACGTAGTTTTAACCTAGAATCCATGTGTCACTTTAACTTGGTGTTGGATTATAAGTTTGTAACTACTTTCTAAGACATAAGCAAGCGATCCGCTGAACATTCTTCTGCTTACATCGCAACTATATCTCAGCTATTTGTAAATGACCTGACATTTTTGTTTTTGTTTTAACTTGTCAAAGTTCCCAGCACTCTATCAGCAGGGCCAAAAGAACATATACTTCAGCTGGACCCGAATTTTTGGTTGGATCGGCAATGCCTTGTTCGCCTCCCTCACCATCTTTATCTTGAACATATACATCTTCCTCCCTGCTGCTTTCCTCGGTGAGGGACAGGTGGCAGACATTGAACACCTCGGAACCATCATGTACACGTGCATCATCTGGACAGTCAATTGCCAAATGGCTCTCATCGTCAGCCGCTTCACTTGGATTCAGCACTTTTTCATTTGGGGCAGCATCTTATTATGGTACGTGTTCTTGGTGGCGTATGGTGTGTTGCCGGTAACACTGTCCAAGAACAACACCCTACTTTTCTTGGAAGCCCTTGGTCCTGCATCAATCTATTGGTTGGCCACCCTCATTGTTGTCATTGTATGTCTGCTTCCATATTCCATCCATGCTTCTGTCCAGAGGTTGTTTTATCCAATGGATGACCATGTTATTCAAGAAATGGAGCGTTGTAAGAGAGACGTCAACGATGGTTACGCGTGGGAGAAGGAGAAGAAGAATTCCAAGAAGAGAGCACACGTAGGGTTTTCAGCCAGGGTGGATGCCAAAGTACGGTATTGGAGAAAGAAAGCATTTGCAAGTGAAGAAGATTTCACTCCTTAAGCCGGTTTGAAGCAGTCCTCTGCCTTGATCAATGCAGATTTGTTTCGTATAATTTTTGTTAATGTTTCCATTGTTTTCTTTTTGAGCTGAGAAAAAGGCAATTTATAGTTTTCTGGATTCTGTGATTCCAAGATCGAAGTGACAGGGTAATAGAGATAACTAGGTCCTTTGTTTTTCTGATTTTATTAAGAAAACAAGTGATTTTAACCAATAAGATTAGACGAAGCAGGATCTAAAATCGCGTCTTTAGAGAAACTAGGTTAGAATTAAGCCTCATTGAGGGATCTTGGTTCTTAGATTAGGGTTTTGGATTATTGAGGCCAATTCGAGAGGGAAGGATTCAAATGTCGAGATAAGAGAGGTTTAAATTGAAAACCCTAATTTTTCGGGGATTTATTAAAGAAATGATATTATAGATTTGGAGAATATGGTTTGGGGATTTATTCATAGCCCAGCAGGTCGCGTTGACGATGATGGCCTAAACGCGTGTTAACCGTCATATACTGCGTAAGTTTTAAGCCTAGCCTGACATTTGCAGGTAAAGTTAATAATTTTCTCGGAGGCTATGGGCTTGGCTCTTAGCGTCAACTTTAAGTCGGCAAGGATTTTACAAATTAATTCCATCTATTCTTCTATACTAGAATTACTGGTTATGCTACAGTAAATACTACAGTGAGTTACTGTTTATACTATAGTAATTTACTATAGTATAAACAGTAAATTAGATCTGATCCTCTCTACTTGAAGTTGCTATTCATTCTACAGTATTTTGTTGTATTATAAACAGTGAAGCAAATTCAATGTATTAAAACGTGGTTCTCTTTTAAGTATAGAGTAATAGATATGATTTCCAAATCAAATGTATCATAACTTAGATTATTCTTTAAGTATATAGGAGTAAATACGATTTTTAATTTTAAGCGTACAATAAGTAAATCAAATTATATACTCCCTTTAAAATTACGAGTCCGGGAAAATTTCATGGTCAATATTACCCTTGACTATCTTTAATATCTCATTTAAATTTTAAGCTATTATAACCATAGTTATATCTTATCCTAATCCCATGTGAACAACTTGCAGGTCAATAATTTAAAGATTAATATGTTATAATATATAAAGTATTACAAATAAGCCCAAATTTTTTTAAAAATTACACAAAACATCCAGACGTTTCAAAACTTAAAACAACAAACATGAAACCCTTAATATTTTAAAAACTATAAAAACACTCTCAAAAGTTCAAATAGTAAAAAAAGCACTCTACAATTCTGAAATTTTAAAACTTGCTAACAACAAAGATAAATTCAGGGAATTACCATCAGGCACTAAAAAATAAATTTTGTAAAAAATAACCTCAAAGTTATAAAAATTATAAAAAACTCTTTCAAAAATCAAAAAAGATAGAAAACCTCAAACTTTAAAAACTTACAACCATTACATATCAAATCTCAAAATTATCAGTAGACCGCTAAAATTTTAAATTTTGTAACAAACAATTTAAAGTTTCAATAATTGTAAAAAATAGCCTCAAAATTCAGAGTTGCAAGAAATATTCTGCCATTAGAAAACTTACTACCACCACATAAAACATGAAAATTACAAGCACCCAACTTAAAATTTAAAATCTTTGAAAAACACTCCCAAAGTTTCAAAATTTGCAAAACACACACTTAAAAATTCAAAATCACGAAAAAGCGACTAAAATTTCAAAACTTAGCAAAAAAAAGAGAGTAGTTGTTTAATATTCTTTCATTAAGATATATAAATTTAACTTTTAATTTAAGTTTTTACTATCCTTTTTTGGCATCTAAGAGTAGTCTAATTTTATCGAAAAAGATAAAGGCGGAAAAGGATTGATAACGTCTCAATAAAAAATAAAACAGAAGGAATGAAATGCACTTCTGAATATTTTATAGAATAGTTTTTTGAGTAAATTAGAAATCTTTAGAAGAGATTTTCATAAACCTTTTTAGTAGTTCTATATGCTTATGTGGATGATTTCATTATATAAAAGTGTACTAAATTTAGCATTAATATTTAGTTTATGATTGTTTTTAAAGTCTATTGAGGATTAGGAACAAACTCTAAATTATCTTTTGTGTCATTTTAGCCAACTTTTAACCAATCATCTCGTCGTATTAGCTTTAATTATTTATTTTTCTTTTAGAATGCTATTTTTTAAAGTGTTTTTCACTTTTGCAATGCTATACTTTCTCAGGTGAAGCTTGACTTCATGTCGGTCTCAGTGACATGATCATTCAAATTAATTTTGGATTATATTTATTTCTTGTCAATTCAATTATCAATATGAAAAATTAAATTGGGTGTAGTTTATTTTAACAAACATTAAATAAAATAAATAATTACAATGCTAAAATTTAAAGATATAAGTAAGCAAAACCCATCAAAGTGGAACCGAGGAATAAGTTTTAGTAAGGAAATAAACCAAATATATTTAATCATGGTATTTAACCATGTGTATTGCACATGCATAAAACTTAGTGTTTTAAATCTTAGAAGAATGCATTTTTAATATGCTATGCTTAAAAAAATAGGGGACGGTGTGCACACTAGACTGATTCAGTGGCCCAATGAGCCGCTTTAAAGACAATGGGTCAGAAGGCTATGGGCCGGATTTGACTGCGCGAGAAATAAGCCCAGCTGACATTTTGGAAATAAACCCTTGATATTTCTTCTTTTACTTATAAGATCAAAATAAATGCAGAAATTTACTGTTTTATGACTGGGTTTGACCGTTTAAGTACAGGTGTTATGGCGCGTTTTCCATTCAATTATAGAAATATAAATATATTTGCCTATATTTAAATTTACTTTTAATTTAATGTATGTCTAATGTTATTCTCGGCTTGTTTCTTTGCAATTTTTAGATTTCTCAGTATATGCTGAGTTGTAAAAGCTTTTAAAATAATAATTTCAATATTTTCCCCACTAGTCTCAGCATGGATCCTCTCAATGCTTGGCAGTGTTAGATGTTTATTTTATATTCTTTAATAAAAAAATATTTTGAACTTTTCTCCATTATTACTTCTATTTTTATTTTTTATATTTTTGGTTGCATACCAAGCTGAGCTGTTAAATTTACCCCTTCATATCATCTAAACTCTTATGTACTCAGAATTCATCCCTTGCTTACCTCCTAAACTATTTTTATCTCACCTTACCACCGTAAAGTATTAAATCTGTCCTTGCTTACATCCTAAAGTATCACTTTGAGCAATTACCCCTATACTTAATTAAGAAAGAAAGTGATAGTTAAAGGGATCAAGTGAGGCTAAAAATAATTGATCGAGGGACAAGAATAGACGAATTGAATATTTTAGGGGGCAAGTAGGCTGCAGGAAAAAATCTTTAGCAATGTCGATTTTTGTTGTGCGGAAGCCCCAATCAGCCAAATCAAAAGCACACACAAGAACAATAGTAGACCATAAGTGAACACAAGCCAACCAATCACAGCAAGTACACAAGATATACGTGGTTCGGCAATGTGCCTACGTCCACGGGGCAAGGAGGGGGAAGCTTTACTAATGAAATCAAAGGGGAATACAAATTAGGGTTACAAATCTTACCCAAAACCCTCAAACAAGACCACTTGATCTCTCTAATAGACTCCAATAATAGAAGCCCTCAAAATCCCCTTTCAGCAGCTTAAAATCGCCTAAGCTTAACCCTAGAAACGAGTTTAGGGTTTAAATACAACTCACAAACGAAATGGGTCTAGAAACAGAACCCAACTGAAACCCGCAGCAACGGTCAACCGACACGGTCGACCGCGATCCATCGCGGTCGACCGGGCCAGTCGACCGCAGAGAGTTCGGCGGTCGACCGACCCGGTCGACCGACCACCGAGCAAATTATAGCTCTATGTCGACGACTAAAGTTGCAAAAGAATTGTCTAAAATATTGACCTTCCAATTAAATCGATGAATGTTGCAAAACTCAAGCAGTGATTGCAAACTTATTATACTCGTTCACTCATTATTATATTTTACACAAAATACTTTAAAAAGATATTAAATTGGTCATGTATAAAATCAAGTATACCCTCTTTTTTTTTATAAACGTATTCTTGCTTTTTAACTATGTCATTAACTTTTTACTTATTAATATTTTAAGTACTCATAGTAATTGAATAAACGTAGAAACATATATAATTAATTGCTCCTTTTTTAAAAAAATTTGTGTGAAGGAAATATAGATATCTAATTCGTCAAAACATCCTAATTAAATTTAAGGTTGCATCTAGAAGTGATTTGAAACTTTTACATAAGGTTTCTACTTGTTTTTCTGAAGTCATCTTACTCCGCGGTGAAACAATGTTTTACATAAGGTTCTGTTTTGAAGAGCAAATAAATTTCTGAAGTCATCTTACTCCGCGGTGAAACAATGTTTTACATAAGGTTCTGTTTTGAAGAGCAAATAAACTTTCATCTAACTATGATTATGCAAACAAACAATGTTTTACATAAGGTTCTGTTTTGAAGAGCAAATAAACTTTCATCTAACTATGATTATGCAAACACTAAAAAGACAATGGATCACGTGTAAAATTCAGAAAATAAATCCAAGGCAGCTGCCTATTTGTATTATCTCTGGCCCGAGAACATAGTCTAAAGAGCTTCTAAAATTTATCCTTTTTTCTAAGATGTTTTTAACTTTCTATTTTTAATAATGAAATCCTCTGTTCTGAGATGCTCCTACTTGTTTTTTTGACCAAAAAGCTCGTAACTTTTGTATATATCTTTTCTAAGAAGCCCGTGAATATCCTCAATAAATTGGGAATGCTATTAACAATAACTGGGAATTGAGGGCTTCTTAACTTAAAAGAGAGGGGTTAACTTAAGAGCTTAATTAGAAGAGAAGAGTGAGACAGGGCTTCCTTGTTAAACAAATAAAATAAAATACAGCTGATAGTTTCTTGGGAAAAACGGGTAAAATTTAGAGGCCCCTTCTCGCTTAAAAAAAAAAAAAAGCGACGCGGAAAAGAAAAGGAAATGGAAGAGCAGGGGAATTGCAGCAAACTGGAGGAAGCTCTCGAGGTTAAGTCCCTGCGTCGGATCATCAGCGCTAATCTAAGTAAACCCTAAACCCTAAGTCTCTCTTATTTGACCTGATTGACGTCAAAAATA